CTTCATATGGATTTACAAATTAACTCATGTCAAATCCAATTTCTCTCCAAACACTACAAACCTGTCTCTGTAAAATCACACTGCAAGGTTACTTCATAATTAACATTGTAATACTTCAGCAATGGCATCATTGTCACTCATTGTTTGATTCTAATGAAAGATGCTTTTTGTTCTGTGCTCCAATACTGCACATCCTTAGTGGCTAGCTTTGTATAGAGATTCACACGCTACGCAAGAACTTTACTAAATAGATTATAGAGTTATGTAGCACGCAAGCAGACCTTTTAGTCCAAACATGCCAATCACAATCCCAAACTAAACTAGTCCCGCCTGCCTGCACTTGGCCGATATCTCTCCAAACATTTCTTATTCATGTACTTATGTAAATGTCCTTTAAAAGTTGTAACTGTACCCACATCCATCACTTCCTCTACAAGTTTATTCCACACACAAATCACTCACTGTGTAAAAAAATTGCCCCTCATGTCTTTTGTAAATCTTTGGTCCTCTCACCTTAAAAATATGTCCCTAGTCTTGAAATCCTCCACCCTATGGAAAAGACACCTGCCATTCACTTTATCTGTACCCCTCATGATTTTATAAACCTCCATAAGGTCCCCCTTCAACCTCCTATGCTCCAGTGAAAAAATGTCCCATCCTATCCAGCATCTCTCCATAAGTCAAATCCTCCATTCCCAGCAATATCCTGGTAAATCTCTTCTGAATTCTCTCTAGCTTAATAATACTCTTCCTATAACAGGATGACCAGACCTGGATACAGTACTGTAGAAAGCATCTCACCAACATCCTGTACAACCTCAACATAACGTCCAAACTCCTGTACTCAAAGGTCTGAGTAATCCAACAAATCATTGCACCGCTATATCATCTGTTGATAACAGTATCTCTGCTATAGCTGTTGCCTTCTCAGGATCTGGGTGAAGTCCTTTGGCTATCAGCACGTGATCATATATATGTATATGACTTCGGGCAGCTAAGTTGCATCTTTTTCTTGTTAAGTTTCTGGTTCATCTGGTGAGGTGTCTTCAGCAGTTGTTCCAAACTCTGATTATGATCTGTGATGGCTTCTTCCACTGTTTCTCCACATTCATGGACTAGCAGGTCATCATAATAATTTCCACTGTGGAAAGATCACAGACAATCTCATACAGTCTGCATTGATACTCTTCTGGAGCAGTGGAAATGTCAAACAGCATATGCAACCACCAGTATACCCCGAATGGTATTCAATGTTTTGTTAGAAAACTGCTTTCATCCAGCTTCACTTGTCAGTAACCATCCTTTGCATCTTAGGTACTAAGGACCTTTGCTTTGACAAGCTGTGACAACATTTCTTCAATGGTTGGCATGGAGGTTTTGAAAACTGTTGAAAGTTTTATTGAGATCCTTTGGATTTAAGCATACTCTTAGATTTCTGTGTGTTTTGTACTGGTACCATACTGTTAATCCAGTCTGTCGGCATTGTCACTTTTTGATTACTTCCTTCTTTTCCAACTTTGCCTTTCAGGCTGAGCTTGAGGGCGGCTGGAATGCTCCTTGATAAACACTTTGCTAGTTTCACATTATCATCCACTTTGTGATGACACAAGGAATGTGTACAAGCCCTATAAAAACATCTCTCAAATCTTATAGGATCAGTTCATCAGTTAATGTTTTAGCGGCTTGTAAAACACTGAAAATCTCTTTTGGCATGTATAGAATTTCAAGTCCAGGTTTTAGACTTGCTTCAGCTGAAATAATTGCATTTTGCTGAACACCCAGAATCTGGAACTTCAAACCTTCAATCTTCCCATTGTATTAGGCTTTTGAATTAATTTATCCTCTTAGGATGAGTATCACTCCATAATATAGCCTCCATGTTACCTTCCAGGGACACATGTCACCGTCTTGAGCAATTTTGTAAATCTCGTGATCTTAGGTACAGCACTAGTGACTATCTAATATTTCATGTTCACTTGATCTTCTGCAGTCTTCATTCTAACAGTAAGAAACCGGTATCACCTTTACATCTGACAATGCTAACTTGTATGATGCAGGGTGATTTCTCAGAATCATTGGCTGGTGTCTCTCCAACAGCTATCTTTATGCACTTATTCTGCTTCTTTCTAGCTAGACACTTGCATGAAAAGGGATTGGGCTCCTTGTATTCAGAGCACTGCTCTCATCATGCTGGACATACTTCCTTTTGATTTGTGGGATATCCTCTACAATATTTATGTCCTGTCCTTTGGCCTTGATCTTTGTACCGGCTTTAGTGCAAGTATTCCTTTTTCTGAAGTTCTCACCCAGCATGGATTGTTTCTGGACATAGTACTTTACGAATGTCTAATTGTATTACAGGCTCCTGTGCCAGTGTAACTGTCAAAGCTTTCATTTGCTAACGTTAAAGTTAACATTTCGGGTCCGGTGACCCTTCCTCAGAACAGTTCCCAAAACGTTAACTCTGATTTTTCCTTCACAAATGCTGCCAGACCCGCTGAGCTTTTTCAGCAACTTCTGTTTTTGTTCCTGATTTACAGCATCCACAGTTCTTTCAGTTTTCATTTGTGAAGACCAGTTTAAAACCTTTTGGCATTTCATGATCTACACATTACTACCACAAATACCCTTCCTCTTTATTTTCTTATTTTCCTAATGTGTGCATAGCTTTTATTTAAAAATAAATTTGACTGGTCTTGCCACTGTCTGTAGTCTGGCTTTCTATTGCCCTTTTACTGTTTCTAGTTGAATTTTACTTACTCAGAGAGTTTGAACAAGTTGAACAGTTAAATTGTGACTTGACACTAATCTTTTAGATTATGGAATGGTTTAATGGATAGACACAGAGAAGATACTTTCAAGTGGGGCATGATCAAAACTGGGGACCATACATAATAACTACATGCAAACAACATAAGGAAGGTAAGAATGTGAAACTTCTTAGCATGGAATAGTTAAAGTGAATTAGATTAATGTATGAGGGTGAAGGTAACAGTTGATGGTGTTATGAAGAATAGTGAAAGGAGACCTGTACTGACTATAAACATTAACATAGACTAATGGGGCTGATTACTCTGTTCATGTATGGCTTACACCTGCCCCCATTTCTTATGTGCTGTATTAATTCTTTGTACTTAATACTTTGTATGACCTTCACTTTCACTTTTTGTTTCCTGGTATCTCTGAATGTTTCTACTTACCCTTTGGGTCAACGTTGACACCATTTTGCAGCACTGTGCTCTTTATTTTGCTATATTTCTTCTTCTTTTCACAGGAATTAAACTCTGAATTCTTACATGCGATTATGGATGTTGCTGGCAAGACTAACATTATTGTTGCCCATCTCTAATTGCCCTTGAGAATCATTTGTGATCCCAGTTATTAACCAGTCTGGTGTACTGCAAATGTTGTACCTAATAAATAACTCTCCTCATTCTCTGTTTCATTGTTTTGTTAAGCAGGTGTTGACCTTTATTTCTATGAAATTTTTTGTGCTACATTAACTTTATCAGATGTCCTCAATATGTCCATTTTGTTTTTAATATTGATATTTCCCATATTTAATACTGCATTTTATTGCATCTCTGTCATAATGTGTATTTGTTTATTCATTTACATTGAGCTGTTGGTTGAAAGCTACTTCTAGTTTATTCTTCAGAGCTTTTGATTCCAATTTATATAATTTTCCCTTTTACTGTTGTGGCTGTGCTTAACAATGTGACATTTGTTAGAAGTCTGATATTGATATGGTATTTCCAGTGAATGATTCAAAATTGTGTACTTTACTTTCATTCAGTCATATTTCATTACCAAATGTGCAAACATGACAAAGTTACTAGAAGTGCTTTCTCTATGTTATTAATAAATATTTTGAACTGTAAATGAGCTATAGCAAATTCCAGTACAACTTCGTCAACTATCAGATAAAAAACCCTAATAAATTCAATTGACTGGCACCTCACATGCAAAAGTTTAATTTCTTTCACAAGAGGTATTCAAGTAGTTTCATACATGAGGATCTTTAGTGTCTAAAACAATACCTATATTTTAAATACTGCAGAAGTGATATTGTTTTTGCACTAACAGTGCAGTAATTTGCAATCTGAAAAAGTCAGAAATGATGAGGAAGATCTTCAATATTTATGACAATGATGGTGCAAAGGCACAACTTCAATTTGCTGCACCATGAAGCAAAAAAAAAGATGCGAATCTGGACTCATGGCTTCACCACATGCTAAATTTCTAATTTCAGTCTTGACTCTGAGAGATGCTCAGCTGATGACAGGTGCTTCCCTTCAGGGGGAAAGGAAAATTGGAGAGAAATTCATTCTTTTATAAGTCATGAATTATGTTCACAAAAACTTTGACCAGGGTCCTGACTATCCTGCATTGAAGGCTACCCTAGGTAAAAGAGATTAAAGCTGGCACAGGAAGATATATTTTGGAAGAATGGTATTTTTAGATTAATAAAGAGAAAGAACTAATTTAAAAATATTCTGGCTTTAAGCTTTAAATTGAGTCATTTTAAGTAATGTGTATATAAGAAGGAAGAAGGGCAATGTTTTCTTTGTAAAATCTATAGGTAGCCAAACTTTGTACATTGGAGGAATCCCTTGTGTCCATCTGAGGGACCCGCTACCCCTCCTCCAAAGGTCACACCTCTTTTTAATCCCTTCACCTCTAACCTCTCATATCTGACCGTCACCTCCCTCATATTTTTCACTGGGACCTGCCTGAGAGGCTCCACCAATAACGTGGATTTAACTTCAGCCTAGTTTCCATAATTGTCCCTTCTTTGGTTTCTTCCCGTGGATGTAGTAGTGCTGACCAATTGAAACTGATGCTGCTGGGACCACATAGCTGGCAGCAAATTGGATTGGCTGACGGATCCTGAAGGTGGGACTTCTTCTCCATATATGAGCAGAAGTCTCACCCTGAGCAATTAATGCTTCTGCTAAAATGGTTGCAGGGAGTTTGGATTTTCTGTGGGTTACCTCCCAATATTTTTAATTTGGGGTGCAAAGGGGATGGTGGGGAACACAGTGCCTGATAAAACCCAGACTGTAGAGATCTTCAGACACTGCCACAATGGTGAGTGATCATCAAAACACATTAACATCTTAGAGCATTTAGTAATGGAGATCAATTAGATTGGGTGATAGAATGACACTACTTATGACAAATGGTGCATTTCTGATCTTGAAATGAAAGAAACCCCTCAAAAGAAATCTTTGAAAGTGATTTTTGCATACACTCCCACTAACATGTTTTGCCAACAGTCATCAAATGATGTGTCTTTGACGTGATTTTGAGCTAATTCTTCATCAATAATCCTCCACAATTTAAAAATCAATGACAAGCCAATGATGACAGATGAATATCAAAATCAGTTGAAGCCAGTATTTAAGTTAGAAAACAGTGTTTTTTTGACAGAACCTAGTTTGCAGACTAATGAACATATATAGATTTTGAAGAACATGGTTACTGTGCATCTTCATATTTAAAAGATAATAAGCACTTTTTAAATAAATAATACAATTTCTTTTTAAGCAAGTAGAGAACATTTGTTATATTAGCGTTGATTTTGTTATTTAGATGTATTATGATAAAACAAAGATATTTGTATCTTTATTTTCATGCATTTGACAATTGTATCTCTAGCTATGGAACTAACAGTTTAAATTCTTGAATTCTTTAGTGCAAAGTCAAAGCAGTCATAAGGAGAACAATTGTTTGATTAAGGACCTTGAATATAATACTTTGAAAATGAAGCAATATTTTATCTTTGTTACAGCAAACTTAGTAAATTGAATAGGATGTGGGGCAACCCTGTATTGAATTTAGATTTGTATCTTTTTCCAACTCTTTGGGATGCAAGGAAGTACAGTATAATAAGACTTCCTGGAATGAATCTATTGTGAACTGCAAGCATTCATGGCATCATAATTGATCTGGGTCATTGAATCTAGATATCACAACTTGTTAGTATTGTTTGCAATTACTTACTATAATTGTGCAACCAATTTAAAAATATTCAACCTGTGATTAATTCTATTTTCAATGGAACCGTAAAACAATCCTTACTCAAAGATGCACATCAGTTCTGTATTCAGTACTTAAACATTTCTAAAGTTGCAGCTGTGCATGATATCAGTGGTAACTGGGTTTTCAGAACTGGTATGAAAACCTGGGTTGAAATCTGTGTCTGCCCCATGGTGGGTTCGGGTGGAACATTTAATCAAGTGAGAGAATTGTGTGTGGGAGCCCCGCCACTGTTCTATCTTAATTTGAGTCCTGGGTGGGAGGGCCTGTGGATTGTCTTCCTGGTCACTGCCAATTGAGATCCTTAAGTAGGTAATAAATGCATGCTTCAGGGCTTTATCCTGCACTGCTGTTATTAACCCAGTGAGGGCTCACCATGTGGGGAACAAGACACCCAAATTTGTGTAGGATTGTTTGCAGACTCCAAGGTGGAAGGAGGACACTCATTCAAAGATGCTCTCTGCTTGAGAAGCGCAGCCTGGGAAGGGGGTTGGCTGAAAAAAAATTACACCCTACCTTTGCCTATCCCCTTCCTTGCAAACCTCCAACCCCCTGAGACCGCACGTAATCTCCCTCTCACCATAACTCATCTCTGCTGCTGTTTGGCCAGCAGCATTCATGGGTGGAACATCTGTTTCTGGGTCCCTTGATCAGGGGCAAATGCTTGCCGTTGGCCTTTCAACTGCCTGATCAGCACATGAGATCACAGGCTTTCCCTAAAACAGGGAATGTGCAGCTCCCCCAACTCTTAAACTGGTGGCTGAGATTCCTACTTCTTCCGTAATATTCTGTCTCTAGAATTGTTTCATTAACTTGAACCAATGAAGAAAGTATTTTTTTTTTTGTTTTACAGGTTCATCTGACTTCCTAAGTCCTACACTTAGCATAAGAGCTAAGCAATATGTCATTAGCATGAACGAGACACTACATGTGGCATGCAGGTAATTAAAGAAATTTCTACATATTAAGCATTTTAATTGGAATTATTTCACATTAGGCTATCCAAGTACTGAACATTGTAAGCATTAAGTAAGAAGTTAGATTGTGACATAAAATGATACAATCTATGTGAAAAATAGTATATTAGAAAAATTCCTTTATGTAATATCCATTGCTACTTGCTCTATTTATGGGTCTTTAAATTTTTCTCAAATATCAAGGACACTATTTATGTGAATTTCAGTGTACTAGAAGTCTACTTCACTATTTTTTTGTACAGTATTAGTGCATAAATGCCATAATAAAAAAATTTACGAATGGGAAATTTAGGTGGCAATTGGTTTCACGATTTTCTGGTTTTAAAAGGTTGTCCATAATTTTCTTGTATTTTGGACCTTTCTGGAACCCACCTATTAAATTCCAGTTGTATTCGCATGTGTTACAGAGGGAGCCAGAAACATAGTTGCTAGTTTCCTGGTTTTGTCCTGCTTTTAATCCCCAGTAACATCATCAGCATCTTCCCATTCATTAAAGATGATGGACATGCAGCAACAACCTATTTTTAGATGTTTCAAGGGCCTAGGCCTGAAACGTCAGCTTTCCTGCTCCTATGATGCAGCTTGGCCTGCGATGTTCACCCAGCTCTACACCTTGTTATCTCTATTTTTAGATGGGATGTTTTCATATGGCATTTCTTTGCTGATGTTTAAAGAGGCTAATCCTAGAGAAGCAGGCTGTTCCGCATGCTGGACATGAAGCTTTCAAATGTCATTGGTGGTTGTTTCTGTTCAATATTGTTACATTGCCATTCCAGCTGTAATAATGCTCAATAATGTGGTGCATGGCAGTTCACATAAGAGTTTGAGATAACAAGGTGTAGAGCTGGATGAACACAGCAGGCCAGGCAGCATCAGAGGAGCAGGAAAGCTGACATTTTGGGTCTGGATCCTTCTTCAGATTTGAAACATATTGCAGTTTTCTTTCTAGGAGAGCTACTGTGGAAATGATCTTCTCTGTACACCAAGACCATGCTCCTTGCTTTACTTACTTTCATAAATCTCACTAAGGCACTCACTGCCATCAGCACAGCAGCACTCTTCAGAAACAAAAACAAAGTTGCTGGAAAAGGCAGCAGGTCTGACAGCATCTGTGGAGGAGAAAACAGAGTTAACGTTTCGGGTCCGGTGACCCTTCCACAGAACTGAATCCTCTGTTTTCTCCTCCACAGATGCTGCCAGACTTGCTGAGCTTTTCCAGCAACTTTGTTTTTGCTCCTGATTTACAGCATCCACAGTTCTTTTGGTTTTTAATTTGCACTGTTCAGAATTTTGGGAAAAGCAATTGTCCACCAAAGCTTCTTGCTCTCTTCATGATGACATGCACTTCTCTGTATAGCTTGAAATCTTCACCCATTCATAGAACATTTTACGATGATATGAAATTTCTCCCAATAAAAATGCAATTCTGCATTCCGGAGGACAAGAAACAGGGTATGAAACTAGAGAGTGTAAAACAGCATTTAAGAAAAGTAAGGGCTGTTTGGTTTTATTCCTCTTAGAAAATACACAGATAGAAAAGACAAATGTACCATCAACTTACTAATCAATATCTAGAATGGAGCAGAAATTTATGTAAAACATAAATAGGATGGTGATCCCTAAGGAACACTACAACAAATGTATTTTAAAGTCTTAGATTAGGTTCGAGACTTGTACTTCTCTGGTCTGACTGTATATCCTAACGCTTGGATTATTTTAAAATATTACTTAGTTATATTGTCAAAAATTGCAGTTGCTTATTAGCAATGAGAATTTTTCTAAATCTTCTTCCATTATTGTGTTTCCATCACTGTATATTTATGTAACTCATTGTCCAGTATGTAATTCCTCGCAATTATCAGTATTAAGTTCTGTTATATGTCTGCCTGGAGGTATAGTTGACCTATATCAGTTTGAAAATTGTTAACTGAAAACTCTGTCATGTGAGATACATGGATTACCATTCTGCACCTGAACATGCATTATGTGGTGTAGCATTCAGTCTATTTTAAGTCTGTTCATTTTAGTCTGCAAGGCAGTAAAAGATAGATGTTGACAGCATGATTGAATTCTTCACAGATGATGCCATTGTTTCACTTTGAAATTCTAAGAGGCAGGAAGATAGTGTTTTGTAGGACAAGGCATTCATCCACGAATTTAATATTTCCACAGATGACTGATAATCTGAAACATCAATTCATTGTGTTACTTAATTCAGTTTGTAAAGGACTGCCAGCAAACATCCATGACATTAAGCTACAAAGTTGTTCACCTTTTAATCACAAAATATTGACCTGAATTGTATGATGGTTTTTAAATCAAAGGAAAAATGAATGCAAATACTTAGAAATGCAAGAACTCAATTTGAAGTTATATTCCTTGAGTACTGTAGTTCAAAGCAATTGCAACAACATACATGGGACTGAAAAGTAACTCAAAATAGAAATTGCTAGGAATATACAATAGACTCAACTTTTATCTACGAAGAGTGTCAAACAGGTCCGTTTAAACCTCAGGTCCTCCTTTCCTTACTAAAAGAACAATTCCTACCTAAAAAGGCATGAAAAGTGAGGCAGTGCTGTAAAAACTGAGGGAATTGACCCTGATAGCTATATGCTGGTTGCAATTATTTTCAGGGGTAAGAGAGGCCCAAGATTTATTTGTAGGTCCTGGAACCTGTCTCCTGGTTCTGCTATTAGTCACTGCACATTAAAATTTAATCTGGGTTAGGTCATTGGACTTCAATCTTGGATTTCAGCAAAGCTGTTAGGGCATTAAGCTCCAATGTCACCTCAAGCACAGTTGTTAAAATTGCACGTGATATGAGCATGACTCCCACTGTTGGGCTGGATATAGTCCTTCTGTTGCAGCGCTGGTTGGCAGGCCCGGAGGTTGTTAGGAATCTGGTGTGGGATCATGGCAGTTGACCGAAACTGATTGTGAGGCAGCAAGTTTGTGAATGTGTGTGAAGTGGGCTTACTGCCAAACTCTGTGGCAGGAATGGTTCAGACATTAGGACACCTGCATCTCATGGCATTGCAGGAGCTGCGGTCATTTTAAACTGCAGCCAGGGCTTTGTGAGGGCATGGAAATAAGTTTACATGCTTTTTAAATCAATTTCTGCAGTTTAAATCTCAATTATTGAATTTTTGTTGTTTAAATTAAGAAATCCCAAAGTTCAGAACTAAGATTCTTCTGCTGTCATACAAAATCATTCAGTGGCATCAACAGGTTTACTTGAGATCTGAGAAGTCACTGTCCAGCTGTGTAACACCTCCAGTACTTAACAATACAGAAGGATAAGGTGGATAATTTCCATGTTCCACTTTGAGGGATGTCTTTTCCGTATCTCAGTTGTATGTTGACCCTTTAAACTTCTGAGCTCATTACTTAAAGGTTCGGAGTTTTACACTGAGTTTCTGTCCCTTGCAAGTGGAATGTGGGCGTTGCTGGTGAAGCCAGAATTTATTGCCCTGGGATAGATGGTGGTCAGTTTGCCTTTTTAAGTTGTTACAGTTTGCGAGGTGTAGTCACTTCCATATTGCTCTTACAAGGAGAGATCCAGGATTTTGACCCAGCTACACTTAAGAAATGGGGATATAGTTCCAAGTCAGGATGGAATGTAGTTTTGGAGGGGAATTTGCAGGTGGTGATCTTTCTATTCATTTGCTGCCCTTGTGTCTATTGGTAGAAAAAGTCATGAGTTTGGCAGTTTGTTGGAGAAGTCTGGGTGAGTTCCTGCAATGCATTTTGTGGGTGGTACACACAGTTGTCAATGTACTTAGAGGATGAAGGTAGTGAATTATGGAGTTGGTGGATGAGGTGCCAATGAAGTGTCCCACTTGGTTGTGTCTGTTGTCAAGCTTCTTGTGTTGCTGGAGCTGCACTAATCCAGCAAGTGTGTAGCATTACATCACACTCCTCACTTGTACCTTGTAAATGATGGACAGACATTGGGACTCAGGAGGTGAGTTATGCATTGCAGGATTCCTAGCCTCTGACCTGCTCTTGTAACTACAGTGTTTATATTGGCTGGTCCAGTTCAGTTTGGTCAGTGGTAATTTGAACGATGTTGGTAGTGGAGGATTCAGTGACGATAATGCCATTGTATGTCAAGGGGTGATGGTTAGATTCTGTCTTATTTGGAAATGGGCATTGCCTAGCACTTGTGTGACATGAATGCTACTTGACACTTATCACCCCAAGCCTGGTTGTTCACTGAGTCTTGTGCATTTGGACATTGACTTCTTCAGTATCTGAGGAATTGTGAATGATGCTGAACATTCTGCATTCATCACGAACACCCCATTCTGACCTTATAATGCAGGGAAGTTCATTTGTGAAGTATCTAAAGATGTCTGAACCTAGGACAGTATCTTAAGGAATTCCTGCAGAGATGTCCTGGAATTAAGATGTTTAACTGCTGACAACCACAACCATCATCCTTTGTGTTTGGTATGATTCAAATAAACAGAGTGCTTTGTCCCAGATTCCTATTGATTACAGTTATGCTAGGAAGCCTCAATACCACACTCAGTCAAATTTGCCTTACAACACTATCTTTATTGTTCATGTTTGGACTATCACTGTAGTGACTTCAGGAGCTTAGCAACCATGGCTGAAGCCAAACTGGACATCAGTGAGCAAGTAGGAACATGAAATGAGGAACACAGCAGGTCAGGCAGCATCAGAGGAGCAGGAAAGTTGACTTTTCAGGTCAGGACTGGGGAGGGGAAAAGGGACCTCAGAAATAAATAAAGGGGGAGGATGGGGCTGAGCAAAGGTAGGTGGAGTGGAGATTGGTGGATGCAGGTAGGGTTTTGTTGAGATTGGTCAATGGGAAGGGTGGGGTGGACAGGTGAGAAGGATGATGGGCAGGTTGTGTCAGATCAAGGAGGTGAGGATGAGAGGGAGGGCTGGACATGGGATGAGGCTGGGCATGAGGAGATTTTGAAGCCAGCGAATTCTACATTGAGGCCATTGGGCTGTAAGCTTCCGAGGTGAAATATAAGGTGTTGTTCCTCCAATTTTCATGTGTCCTCATTGTGACTTTGGAGGAGGCCTAGGAGAGACATGTCGCCAAGGGAGTGGGAAGCGGAGTTGAAATGGCTGGCAACCGGAAGGCTGGAGTGTACAGAGCGCAGATGCTCCACGAATTTGTTATCAAGTCCGTGCTTGGGCTTTCTGATGTCGAGGAGACCACATCAGGAGCAATGGATGCAGTAGACCAGGTTGGACATGGGATGAGGTGGGGGGTGGGGAGGTGAATCCCCGTTAGATATAGAATGATTGTTTGGGGCTTTGGATGGAGGTGAGGAGAGAGATGTAGGAGCAGGGCTCGCACTTCTTGCGGTTGCAGGAAAAGGTGCTACGTGTGGTGGGATTGGTGGGGAGTGTGAAGCGGACGAGAGCCGTGGAATGACCCGTCCCTATGGAAAGCAGATAGGGGCAGAGAGGGGAATATCTGTCTGGTGGTGGGGTCTGATTGCAGGTGGCGGAGGATGATGCGTTGAATTCAGAGGTTGATGGGGTGATATGTAAGGACCAGGGAACTCTATCCTTATTGTTCTTAGGGGGGAGGGGGTTTGAGGGCAGAAGTGTGGGAAATGCAGGAGATGCAATTGAGGGCATTATAAATCACAGGAGAGGGGAAGTTATAGTCCCTCTACATCAGAGAGACCAAGCACAGATTCGGGGACAGATTCATGGAGCATCTGTGCTCTGTACGCTCCAATCAACATCACCTTCTGGTTGCCAACCATTTCAACTCCCCTTCCCACTCCCTTGGTGACGTGACCATCCTGGGCCTCCTCCAATGTCGCAATGAGGACACATGAAAATTGGAGGAACAACGCCTTATATTCTGCCTTGGGAGCATACAACCCAATGGCCTCAACATAGAATTCACTAGCTTCAAACTCTCCCCACCCCCAGCCTCATCCCATGTCTAGCCCTCCCTCTCATCCTCGCCTCCTTGATCTAAAACAACCTGTCCATCATCCTTCTCACCTATCTGCCCACCCTTCCCATTGACCAATCTCCACAAACCCCTACCTGCATCCACCTATCACCACTCCACCTACCTTTGCTCAGCCCCATCCTCCCCCTCTATTTATTTCTGAGCTCCCTTTTCCCCTCCTCAGTCCTTACCCGAAAAGTCGACTTTCCTGCTCCTCTGACCTGCTGTGATCCTCCAGCTCCACGCTGCATCTCCTAGGAACATGAAATTACAGATTGTGGTTGTTGATTTGAGATTCTGCTACTATTGATAGCCCACAGCATTTGTTAGATGCCAGTTTTTACTTGCTTGATCTTTTGAAGTCTGTCCCATTTAGCACAGTCATGTTACAAAACACAATGGAGTGTATCTCCAATGTGAAGATAGAACTTTGCCTCCGCAAGGACTATACAGTGATCAATTCTACAAATACTGCTATGGAAAGATGAAGATTAGGTTTAGGGTTAGCTACAGGTAGATTGCTAAGGATGAGGTTAAGTATATTTTTCCTTCTTGTTGGTTCCCTCACCACCTGCCACAAACTCAGTCTAGCTGTTTTGTCCTTGAAGACTTGACTACCTCGGTCAGCAGTGGTGTTACTGAGCCACATTTTGTGGTGGACATTGAAGTCACCCACCCAGAGAAACCTTCAATGTTTCCTCCAAGTGTTGTTCAACACGGAGGAGTGATGATTCATCAGCCAAGGTGGGGCAATAAGTGGTAATGAGCAGAAGGCTTCCTGGCCCAGGTTTGATCTAATGCCATGAGACTTCATGGAGTCCAGGCCCCATGTTGAGGACTCCCAGGGCAACTCCTTCCTAACTGTGTACAGCTATGCCGCCACCTCTGGTCGGTCTGTCCTGGCAGTAGAACAGGACAAACCCAAGGATGGTGATGGTAGCATCTAGAATATTGGCTGTTAGGTATGATTCCATGAGTATGACTATATCCCTCTGGTGCCTGACTAATCTGTGGTACAGCTTTCCCAATTTTGGCACAAGATTTCAGATGTTGTTGAGAAGTTTGCAGTTTTGTCGCTTCCATTGATGGTGTCTAGGTTGATGCCAGATGGTCTATCTAGTTTTTTCCTTTCAACGGATTTTATAGTAGTTTGTGAGGCCATTTCAGAGGTACTTAAGAGTTAGCTTCATTGCTGTGGGTCTGGAGTTGAGTATAGACCAACAATCAAGGTCAGCAGATTTCTTTCCTTGAAAGACATTAGTGAACCAGATGGGTTTTATGATAATTGACAATCACCATTAAACTAGTTTACAATTCCAATTTTTTTTAAAATTGAATTCCATTGAATTTACAGAACATTAGCTTGGGGTTCTGGATTACTAGTCTAGCGACATTACCAATTTGTCACCAATTCCCCATAATTGTTTACAGTTTTCCCACTGCCATGGGTCTGATTCCTGCCCTCCTATGCAATTCTCCATGCCCACTTGCTAACTTTTCCACTGCAGTAGGATCTACAAATTCCAGGTCAGAGAGTACCAGGATGTTTTATTGTGACTTCCCACACTTCCTTTCATTGGTAGTAGGAGATTAAAACAAGCTAAGAGGTTTCCAGATTAGCATTTTCTGTTTACAGTTGTTGACTAACCTAATGTTTATTTTAAACATTCTCTGGTTTTATTTCACCATTTCCACTCTTTTTCTTTAAGATGACACAAGCCAGTAAAGTGGTAACATTGAAGCTTAACTTAAAGATGATATTTCTAAGTAATCTGATTTTGCTTCAATGAAAAAGATAAACTGGATTCTGTAATGTTTTACCTTTTTATTTTCACAGGGGATCATCACATGTGTCATGGTCCTGGCCAAATCATGTAATTAATGGAACTGAAAGACTGAGTATAATTAATTTTAACAGTGGAGTCAGCAATAGACCTTTCTGGAGTAACCTGACTTTAAGCAAAACTCAGGCTAAGGACACAGGATACTATCACTGCAATAGCTCATCTTCAAATGCCCGACAAAGAAAGACTGCACTCTATATATTTGTTAAGGGTAAGACAAACATTGTAGTTGTTTTTGGCTTATGAAGATCTCTTTTGTTTCTGTTAAGTTTAGAATACTTTACATTCAATGTATATTTATTCTGTTAGAAATAAAATGTTTAAAAAGTGACTAGGAGAAACAAGGAAGCAGGTCAGAATTACACCAAATTTTGAACAACACCTGACAAATGGAGCTATACAGTGGGTAAATACAATCATAAAAATCAACAGCATAGAAGAGCATTGAGGCAATTGGGCAAGATTTGTCACTTGAGGCAGGGAACGGGAGATAGACTTTTTTAGGGGGCCTAGAAACATCTCCACCAGAAATGTTACCTACTTCTGAAATTTTACCAGGACTGAGCCCTTAATTCACATAGAGGTGGGTTTCCCAGCCAATTAAATGTCATGGGGACGCCATCACTCATGCAGATTATCACAGTGGCTGCTACTTGGCCTAAGGGGTAGGGTTTGTACCAGTGCCTACCACTGCACTACATGGAGCCCAGACGGCACAGGGGAACTGGAAGTCCTGCAGTAGGAGAGAAAGGAAGGTGGTCCTCCTCTGGAGTGTGCCAGGACCAACCACCTTATTGGCAGCAACAAAATTGCTGTCTTCATGATCATCTGTCTTGGGCTGAAGGGGTTTACAGGGCATCAGCTGATTTGTCTTGGTACTGAACTCTGCTCCCTCTGAGCTGTGATGCCTGATCATTTGTGACCCTGCTGAATTCACAGAATCACAAAATTGTGCCAATCTCCTGGCTCTTCCTTATAACTTTGTTTGTTTCTATTTAAATAATGTACAAATATCTAATGCTCTCTTAAATGCCTCAATTGAAACTGCTTGCATGATACCTCCATGCAGTGCAATCCAAACACTAATTATTTGCTATCTGAAAGATTTTTTTTTACTCGCCTCACATTTCCTTCTTTTGCAAAAATTTTAAAGCTGTGCCCTCTACTTCTTGATCTGTTTATGGGTGTCTTCCAATCCACTCTAAGCACATTTGTCATGATTTTGAGTCGCACAGCATCTATGAGCAAAAATGTTTCTTGGGTGAGCCACTTGTGAGATGCTACAGAGGACCCTCTAATTTTACAATTTCTTAACGCTCTTCCAGTGAGCCATGAACTCCCACCAGAAGCCCACAAGCAATACTAACTGGATTTGCTATTCGCACTTCTAGAATGCCTGGTAAAATGTAGTGCCATGAACTTTTAAATGCAAGCAAATAAGCCATTTAAATTTTACAAATTATACTTACTTGCCTTCTAAACTCTTCCGGCCTCTAGTCTATGATCCACACCACCGTGCAGCCAGTTTGAAGTCAGGCAGTTGCTAAAATGTGACAGTCTTACTGAAAATTTCAACGCTTAGCTTATTGGAAGGGCTGTTAGCAATGGGATGATGCATTTAAATAGGCCTTAATTAGAGATCATATAGAAATGCTTTCCATTAGCTTTCCAATTCTGGACTAAATTAGGGCTGAGATGGGAATACAGTGTAGCCCCTACTGTTGGATCAAATGCTCCCCCACCACTGGGGAGGGGCACTACATTTTCCAGGCATTCAGGAAGTGTGAATAGCAAATCCAGTTAGGATTGCTTCTGAGTTTCTGGTGGGGGTACACTCATGCAAAGGCACTTAGTGGATCAAAAAGAAGATTACCATATCCTTTACAAGGACACATCAGTTTGTGGCTGGTGACTCCCTATCCTGAAAGTGAAAAATGAAAAGAAAATACACTTGACTATTTCTGACAAGGGTCTTATGAGACACCTAATTGATGAATATTATAGTGTAACCAGCAGACCTTATGCTTGATAAATAGCAATGAATTCAATGTTGATTTTAATTTAAAATAATCCCTCCAGGGTTTTTAATAGTGCTTGGGAAACTGAAGCGAGTAGAATTAGATTCAGTAGTACTTCTCTATTGTTTCCTGTGGCAGGACATTGTTTATTCAACTTCCCAAATTAGCTCCATGAGGGCCACTGATCTGCTGTTTTCCCAGATTTAAAGTGCAAATTCTGAGTTTGCATTGTTTGGAAGTACATAAACCACACCAAAGGTGCCTTCAGTTTATTGAGAAAGTGTCATGCATGCCTTTAAAAATTGCTGTTCTTATCAGCATGTGTACTTTTTATTGTAGTATTATGTAGTTACTAGTATTAAAGTAATGAAAAATTCTGTGCTTCTGTATAATTTGCAATCACTTTTATGTTTATTTATATTTAATCAATGCTGGACTTTGTTTCAACTACATTGTTGATTAGGTGAAACCATATTTTCAATGCGGTTAACAAATTTCCTCCTTTTTTACTGAATCTGATCTAAATTGCCTCGGGACTTGCATAGGGTTTTCATTTTTAAATAAAAAGAAAATGATGTTCTGTCCTGTATTCCAATTCTTTCCTGAATGATCTTTGCTAGACTATGGTTCCACATGTGCTCAATTGTGTACTACAAACGTATGAATCTTGCTTATGAATGATGGTATCCCATTGATTGTAGCAAACACTTCAGCTATTCCTGATCCTACTATAACTACATGTCCATATATTTGTACCTCCATCCAGTCTGCTGGAATGTGACAATAAGCTGGAATCTTTACCAATATTCCTCTCCTTACCTCCGTGACAACAAGTCAATTGTAACACCCTAATAAGCACCTTGGTGGAAATCAATCAGACTGATGATTAGATCCAGGATTTTCATAGTCTTCAAGTATCAACTATTGACTGATTAAAAGTTTTCAGTAACTGGGGACTGTTTTATTTTGTTTTAGACAAAGCTGTTTTGGTAATTAAAATAATGACCAATACTGAATATTCTCATCCTCCTGTTTAAATCTTTCCCAAGGTCTAGACCTTCCTCTATCTCTGTAATCTCCTCCATTCCCACAACCCTCCAATAATTCAGTTTTATTTCAGCTCAGCTCTTTTCTACATCCCACACATTGTGGCAATGTCTTTACCCATCTAACCTAAACCCACAATTCCCTTTCTTAAACCCCTTTGTCTCTCCACCTCTTTCTCCTCCTTCAAAGTCATCTTTAAAACATCCCTCTTTGAGCAAGCTTGTGCGAATTTTTGTCTGATTAATCTCATGTGATGCATATTGACACGTTATAGGTGCTGAAAAATGCAAGTTGTTGTTACTTATTTGAATTATTACCTTTGGGGACATAGGAATTTTCCCAGAGCAATGCAACAAGTAGTATTGTGTTAATAATTTTAACCACAGGAAACAGTACAGTTAAACCCAGCCCTATCTTCATTCATTGTTCCACATATGTATTTCTAACGGACATCATTGTATAACATTGATGAAGGAAGCACTGATTTTACCATAGTTCAGAAATATTGAAGACAATTACAATGACTCCATTGCTTCCCTATTTGAGATCCATAATCCATCGGGTAAAAAGCTGGACATTGCTAATGCCTACATCGCTAGATTGCAAGTTATTTGAATTTAAACCAGCCTCAAAATGAATTAAAACAAAAATAACTTCTTCCATTTCAGTACATCATTATTAGTAAGTATATGAATTACACAAAAATAAGAATGACATCTACCTGCATTAGATATTTTCAGTTTCACATTAATTTGCATACTTTGACTAGTTTACTTTGTGCACTGAATTAATGGCTGCATATGGTTATCTATTCCTGCTCCAGTTCTCAGCACTAATGGCTTTGAATTTAATGTAAGTAGCAGTCCCATAGCTTCAGTTGCTGGTGACACAATGTCTGCATGCAGCAATATCCAGCAACTCTTCCTAATATTTCTCATGATCTCCACAATGACATGGTGAGTTTCAGGAAGCCACATGGCAATAATCTTTATGCATGGAAGTAGCTCTTTTCTTCATCCCGTACCATTTCTGAATAGTCCACAAGGGAGCAATTATTTTTACTCCCTGGTTAAAGTCATTGAGGGTGTGTATTATGTCACAAAATAACATTTTAAAAAATATTTCAAGAATACAACATTCCTCAAACAAAAGGAAAACTCGAGCCCTTCGTCTAATTAAAAGGTTCTCAGGGCATCTTTTTCCTTTTGACTTTCTTCTTTGTATGGGATCACATCAATAGAAATGTCTTACTCAAAGTACGCTAAAAGGTCGTGAGACAAAATCTGTCAGACAAATTTGGGAACTGTCTGATTAGAACATGAACAGCATATTCCACAGAAAGCAAGATTATACAGACCTGTAGCTTTGAACAGTATTGTCATCCCATAGCTTAAATTGCCATAATTGTGGTATGATGTGATCCTAGTTTGTTTGAGAATTATAAAATTAACCAATGTCCAATTAAACTGGAGTTCTTTGCCTTGCTGAAGAGTGATTTTAGCTTTACATGAACTTATAATTTGCATGTAAAGCTGCTGTATGAAACAATTTACTAACAGCTTCTATTCTTAGAGAAGTTAACCCAAAGAAACCTTTTGGACAATTTTCCAAGACTATGAGTGCAAATGGACACTCTGCTCGAGGTAAGGCATAAAGGGGAAAAAGCTGTACGAAACAAAAACTTTTAAAAGTGGTTTCTGAAGGTGGAAGGGAACAGAGTAATACAGTAGAGATCCTGAGTGTTTGGCTGAAAGCTTACAGGTGTTTCTTAAACTCTAACCAATGTATATATGACAATGAGAAAATGTTAGCAAGTACTGTTGCACAAAGTAAAAACCAAAAGAACTGCAGATACTGTAAATCAGAAACAAAAGCAGCAATTGCTGGAGAAATTCAACAAGTCTGGCAGCATCTGTGAAGAAAAATCAGAGTTAACATTTTGGGCCCAGTGACTCTTCTGCAGAAAGGGTCACCGGACCCGAAACGTTTACTCTTGATTTTTCTTCACAGATGCTGCCAGACCTGCTGAGCTTTTCCAGAAACTTCTGTCTTTGTCACTGTTGCACAGAGCTTGTTTTTCTTGCTTGGTAACAATTTTGACCCAACAGCATAATTAAGGGCTAATATTTTCACATTGCTATAAGCTATATTTGTAGAATCACTGTATTCAAAGATACAAGGCATATATTGGGTGCTACATTTCAGACCATCCACGCCAGAACAACCATATCATAGGACTACTTGTGCTTTTGCGCACAGTTAACAACCTAATAATACTCCAGTAGAACTCAGTTATGTTAGGCAAAGCAATTATAAGATTACTCCTGTTACAAAGAAACAAATAGTTCATCAAAATAGTTTCATGTATACGCCCCATTATACCAATCAATGTACTGTAGCATTATTTTCTTTCCTGTCAAATGTTCTAATTGAAGCTACGGTACAGATCAAATGTGATACCTAGTGGATATTTTCAGTAACAGTGAATTATTGAAACTGGCAATGAAAAAAGTGTCGGTGTCAATGAGATTCACAAACATGGCAAGAGTAAAGTCTGTGAGAATTTGCTATAAATGGTATGCTTGAAAAACTACTTTAAAGATGTTCTTCACTCAACACTATTTATCTGCAAAATGAATATGTTGCAGGTGTGGATTGTTTTAAAGACAAGCGCCATTTTTAGTGAAAAAATTGACACTAAAGCTAACTTCAGCTTTTATTCTGATAGATCTTTGGAAGAAAGTCTGTGCAATTCTGTAACTTCAGGTTGTATATGCTTCCATGTAAACTTAAGTGAACTCTTAACTAGTCTGTCTTTGGGCTAGCAATTTTCTGCATGGCAAAACCATTTCCTTAAGTTTCAGCTGAATAAAAATGTTGATTTTGTTTCAGACAAACACAGTCCCTTTGTTGAGCAATACACAGATGTTCCCAAAGTCGTGTACATGACAGAAGGAAAGACGCTAATTATACCATGCAGGGTCACAGCCCCAGATCTCACCGTCACTTTGAAAACAGTAGGTTGGATGCAGTATTTATATAGTATAGTTAACAACTAGAAGTATATCACTACCTCAAGCACTTATTTCATGAATTTTTTTCAGAATCTGTATCGGTGCTTATCATAATTTATTTATTAAGCTGTTTAAATGGTTTGGCTTGTGAAGAGATCAGAACAAATTACGCAATTGGCTGAAAGTCAAATTTAGAAGTATCAAAACAAAGCTGAAAATTTTAACAAATTTCAGTCATTTGGTTTGGTTATTTTCAGCTTTGTACCTCAATCATGCTGGCCTACCAGTTTCAATTCAATTTGGAAATCGGTTCTTGATTTTTGAATGATCATTTAATTTTTTTGGGTACTGTTTTGTCCTTGCAACTTTTAAAATGTGGATTCAACAGTTTACTGTTTAAGGAATGTTTTAAAAATAGGTTATGCAGTAAATTGTAAATTAATTACTATTAGTCTTTGATCAATTACAAATGTATTTTTTGTCCCTAAATGCATTGTCTTCAAGATTTAAGAAGTGTATTTTAGTTAAGGAATGTGTTAGTGCGTGCATACATGTGCGTGCACTGGTCATTATGACTCCTCATGAGAGCATTTTGTCGCTTTAATCAGTTATGAGCAAATGCAGTGCATGTAATTATAGACAGATGTGCCTATGCATTAAAAGTGTCACAGTAAAATGCGAGAAACTAAGTATGGGCACTGGGTTGAATGTAGGACCACTGGGAATATTGTAGCTCTAAGATTGCTCCTCAGACATTTTAAAATGGATCTCCCATCTCCATTCCTGTCAGCCATAAATTTCTTCTGCCATCTTTTCAATCTTCTCTTATTTGTCCATAACCTTGACATGTGATTCTTCTTCTAGGTTAGCTAAGTCAATGATGTGAGTATTGTACTGGTGCCAAAAGATCTTGAGTTCAAATTCTGGCAAGGTTCTCTGTCATTCATTCTTCTGTGTCAGCTACAATTAGTATCAAATCTTAGAAGATTTGGAATAAGTAGAGAATACAGAGACTATGCAGTGTTTGTGACACAGTGCAGCATTTTAAACAGAGATCACACCTGCATCGATATGAACATTACATTAATGTTCCTCCTTTTTCTCACTCTTTCTGTTATTTTTCCATCATCCGCCACCTTTAACGTCTAATTCAATCGTCTTATTGTCATCTAGAAGTTAAAGCAAAATAATGAAAGTAAATATTAAAAAAATTTAAAAATCAGATGAAGAAACTCAAAGCAAAATTTGAATTCTCATTGCATTTCAACACATCCTCGCAGTGCTTCTCATGTAGTGAATTGTTTTGCCTGTCATCTAGCCAAATATTTTTACAATGATGAAAGTAGGAAATGTAAGATTACCAGAGAAACAGTAGGAATAGTTGAAAAGAAAAATGCATTACTAAGTAGAAAGTAGGAGTAAAATTTATATAAATTTTAAATTTAAAAAAATTGCCAATCAATAAAAATGAAATTATATTTTTGATGCAGTTATTTAGACCTGGCCGTATTAAGTAAAATTGAGTGAAAAATGTTTTGCACTTATCAGTAATCATAAACATTTCTAACTTAATTAGTTTGAATAATCTCCATACAATTATTATTTAAACCAAATTTAAAATGTACAGTTTGCTAGGCATATGGTTTTTAAGTAAATTTATAATGTACCCTCCAATGAACATCACTTTATTGCAAGTAACTTAAACTACAACAATCTTAAAATACATTTAAATCAGTGTCTGTTTTGTAGATTTAAGTATAATTATATGTTTCAAAAAGATATGTTAAAATCTTGGTAGTAGGTTGAAAGTATTTCCTACTAAGGAGCATAATCCACAAGGAGGAGTTTCCATATAATGCCCAAGTTGGCAGCACAGAACAGAGACAGTAGGTCTGTATCCTGTGTTGACAGGAAGTAAGTGAGATAGGACCATAGTCTCATTTATTATATCCTACTTGAAGCATCCCTCCTGTCCCACCCTGGAGAACTCTTTACATGAGACAAGTCTATGCAATAACATTCGTTTCATATTGTTTTTCCTCTTGCATCAAAGCACTTAGTTGGCAAAGTCAACTTTATGGGACTTTATTCTTTTTGCCCCTCTCTTCCCATGAGAGCTCCTCACCACAATGAAACTGCTTTCCGCTGAGAGGGTGGAATTCTCCGTGACGTAAACTTTTCTTTGACTTTCTTTCATGCCAGCCCCTGCCAGTTACCGTAGTATAGCTGTCCATGTAGAAGTGTCTGATCAAGTCATCAAAAATCCTCAGGGGAGCATTCTTTTTGTTGGTAGTGCATCTTGTTTTGTGGGAGAAGGTATGGTGTGCTGAATGAGTGTGATCAATAAAGGCTCATGTTATTTTATATAGTTTACCAGGTCCCAAAGCTGCCTATCACACAAATTAAATATGATAAATGAGGCCAAGCAAGTGTTCTTGAAAATGTATCTTCCTGTCAGTCTGATTCATTTGAGAGACTGGTTCATTTTAGAATTAATTAACAAAGCGTTTAATGCTTATTGTGCAAAGGAGAAAGTTGTTTTACGAATTTTGCCATGGAGCTTTCATTTAAATATTGGTTATTTAAAATAAAACTTCTATTGCACTCACTGTTAAAATGATTAACTTAGAATTTTAGACAGGCTTTTTATGTGTCATAAATCATGTTAAAGAGCACCAGGATATTTTAATACATTCTGTGTTGACTTAAAGAAGCAGAATATGTAAACTTACAAACTGCTAGCTTAAGCTTTGATTCCTGTCAACTGGAATGAAATCTGGAGAAAAGTCAAGATCATCTTGGCCACATAGAACATAGCTTATGTTTCAGTAAACAAAGTTTACAAACAATCTAAATTTCTCATTATATTCAGAGACTATTACAGAGTGAGAAATACCTGTTTCAATACTCTTGAGAAACAAAAATGACTGTATGATTTATCAATCTTTCTGCCTTAATTAGGGTGAATCCACCTGTACTAAAAATTTAGCTGGATAAGGAAAGTAGTTGTATGATACTTGGAAGAGAAAAATGAAGGCATAGATAAGAATGGATAACATTGAATCATGTGGGATGTAAAATTTTACATGCAAATGTTGGATAACTGAAAGCTCAAACAGGACAAGTAGATTCAAAAGAAATGGCTTGAAATAATTCAAATTAATCAAAAAGGCTTATTTGTGCTATTTAAAAAGTTCAGCAATTTTTGATTCACTTGTAGAATTAGACTGGTTCTATTACAAACAATCAAAAACAACAATCTCACAGGAAATAAAATTGCAATTCTAGTGCATTTGAAACAGGCCATACACAATAAAATGATAATTTTGTTTTTTTTTTGCTAATTTTTCCTCAAAATATTATTGTACTTTAACATACCTAAAAAAATTTGCAGCATAATAAATAAACCTCCCATAAAATAAACATCTTGTAAGTTGTATTATGAGATACAACCTAAGATTGAAGAGACCAGGGAAAAGGATCACACAGAAGTTCACTTCAGATAAATGTTTGCCTATGCGTGATTGCTGAACACTGTACAGCTTTCTTTTCAAAGAGTAACTATACCCCTTGTGGCTAACTTTCACATTGTACTAGCAGGCATCTGTAAAGAAGTGCACATTTATATCAATAGGCTTTCTGGGGTTTGGTTAGACTAGTTAGCTAGTTGGCTGCTTTACAATGCAAACAGCGTTGGTTCAACTCGTGTACTGGCTGGGGTCACCATGAAGGTTCTCTCAACCTTGCCTGAAGAGTGGTGACCCTCAGGTTAAACCCACCATCTTATTATCTCAGAGATAGTAGGAACTGCAGATGCTGGAGAATCCGAGACAACAAGGTGCAGGGCTGGATGAACACAGCAGGCCAAGCAGCATCATAGGAGCATAAAGGCTGACGTTTTGGACCTAGACCCTTCATCAGAAAAGGGGGAGAGGAAGGGGGATCTGAAATAAATAGGGAGAGAGTGGGAGGCGGATAGAAGATGGATAGAGGAGAGGATAGGTGGAGAGGAAACAAACAGGTCGAAGAGGCGGGGATGGAGCCAGTAAAGGTGAGTGTAAGTGGGGAGTTAGGGAGGGGATAGGTCAGTCCAGGGAGGACGGACAGGTCAAGGGGGCGGGATGAGGTTAGTCAGTAGGAGATGGGGGTGCGGCTTGAGGTGGGAGGAGGGGATAGGTGGGAGGAAGAACAGGTTAGGGAGGCGATGATGAGCTGGACTGGTTTTGGGATGCGGTAGGGGGAGGGGAGATTTTGAAGCTTGTGAAATCTGCATTGATACCATTGGGCTGCAGGGTTCCCAAGCGGAATATGAGTTGCTGTTCCTGCAACCTTCGGGTGGCATCGTTGTGGCACTGCAGGAGGCCCAGGATGGACATGTCGTCTGAGGAATGGGAGGGGGAGTTGAAATGGTTCGCGACTGGGAGGTGCAGTTGTTTATTGCGAACCGAGCGTAGGTGTTCTGCAAAGTGGTCCCCGAGCCTCCGCTTGGTTTCCCCGACATATCCCCCTACCGCATCCCAAAACCAGTCCAGCTCGTCCCCACCTCCCTAACCTGTTCTTCCTCCCACCTATCCCCTCCTCCCACCTCAAGCCACACCCCCATCTCCTACTGACTAACCTCATCCCGCCCCCTTGACCTGTCCGTCCTCCCTGGACTGACCTATCCCCTCCCTAACTCACCACCTACACTCACCTTTACTGGCTCCATCCCCGCCTCTT